TCAAAGTATATAGTAAATATGGATAGTTTAAATATTTTATTTCCATTTTCTTTTGCTTATTATTATTCTTTTTGAAATTGTTAAGACGATTTATTCTTTTGTTTCACCATATTAAATATATAATAATTATTATGTGTTATTTAAAAGTCATATATTTATAATTAATACGTATTTTACTGTTCAATTTTAATTGCCATTTGGCTTTTTGATATATCGTTTTTCAAAACAATGAAAATCAAATCCAAAATTAACATTAAACCCCCTTTGTTTGCACGCAAAATGATATTGTTTGTTTTAAAAATTTATAAAATAAACACAGAGTTGTTAATTACTGTTTAATTTTGCGTCGGTTATTGATTATTTATATCTTATTGTTTTCCTAAAAAAACTATTTAAAATTATTTCAAAGATCTGTTTTTTTAGTATTCTAAAAATATACATTTTGTACAGATTTTTCTACAAAAATTCTTTTGTTGCAAGTGAATATTGTGTCTTATTTTATGCTCATAATCGGGTAAGTAAAACATCATTTTTTATTGTTGTTTTCTTAAACCGTTATTTTAAAAATACACTAAATTCATGAAAAAATTGGTTTACATTAGTTCGAAATTATGGTGTTTTATTAATTTTCCTATTTAGCCCGATATATCTGATTTTATCGACTTGACAAGTCGAATATTATAAATCATAAGACAAATTATATTCAAGTGTTTTAATTATGATAATCATACAATTCTTTGTTTACAATCCAAAAATGGACTTAATTTCGAATAGAAAAATATAAAACGATATCGATTTAATTAAATTGGTGTGTATATCAACTTAAATTATGTATAAAAATATTATTTTGTAATACACATTTCATTATAATAAATGTTGATAAACTGATAAATATATTGATGTTACTTTTTTAAAATAATAATATTTTGAAGATCAATTTTATTAAGGAAAAAATCTTGTTATAAATTTGTATTAATTTTAATGATTACATTTATGTAATTATATTACAGTATGGTCATTAAACCTTATGTGAAACCTTGAGGCTTATGCGATTTTTTAGAATAATTTTTAGTATTATTATTATTATGAAAAACTATACAAAAATAAATCAAATCATGAGTTATTTTAGTTATTTCCATAAATATTAATAAAACATAAAACTAATAAATTATAATTAATAATATTAACAATTATACTATTGGTTTTTACACTAAAATATATAAATATCGAATGTGGTTATAAACCATTTTATTTAATTTTATATTTAATATATTTACTATATATTTGATGATTATTTAAAAGGAAATTGTAATTATTTTAGTATTTATTTTTGTTATTGTTGTCTAATGGTAACATAAAAATAAACAATATTTGGTAAAAAGATATTAAAAATAATTTCAAACCAAAATATATATTAACTTTGCTTTTAATCAAAAAATTGGTGAAATTTTCAAATATTTCTCAATTTTTTTTGTTGGAACCTCTTTTGAAGAAAAAAATGTGTTTTTATGGGAGAGAGTTAACACTAGCTCACTGTTTTTTTAAAACAAAAATTCGGCAAAATATGGAAACGCCTGATTGTGTTTGTCTCTGTGTTTAATGTAAAAATTGTTTTGTTTTAAGACGTGAATAATCGTCTATGTCTCTTGTCTTGTCCTAATTTAAAGCAGCAAGATAAGGCATGATAAACATGGAGTTTTTCTCTGTGCCATTTTATAGCATACAATAACAAATAGTCTGTTAAAAAGATGCAGTTTATTGATTTATTGTTTCAAATCGATGTGTACTGTTGTCCGGAACTGGTCTTTCGATAATTTCCATTGGGTCGCTTTCCCGAAATTGTTGCTTAATTTATTGTATTTGGAGTGTGAAAGTTAAAAATTGCAACGTCACAAGGTGTGCAAGTCAAAGTATAGTTTAGTAATAACTTCAAAATTATAATTAATAATTAAACCAAATATTTTTTTTGAATTTTTAAAAAATGAATAATTCTATTTTTTTAATAAATAATTATAAATGAACTATACCTTAACTTGCACACTTTAAGAAGTCACTTTATTGTGACTTTTTAAATTTATATATCTGAACCAATATAACAATAAAAAATTTAATTGTTCAAAACATTATGAATATCTAATTTAATAACATAATATTTTTTTAATAGAAATAATAATAAACAAATATGTTTATATTTAAACTATTTTAATAATAACAAAATTAAAAACAAATAAAATAATATAATTATTTAATCAATCAATTGTTTAAAATAAATAAATAAAATCATTAAGTTTAATGAAAACAACAAAAAAATTTAAAACATGAGAATTAACTTATGTAAAAAGTATTTCCATTTAAAAGTGGGTAAAGTATTAACTTTTAATATATAGTTTGGTTATAATTTTACCGTTTCTAAGATTTTATAATAAAATGCAGACACTTATTTAATTATATTTGATACATTGTCCTTGTATTATTACGTTTTTTGGAATTGTCAGCAATTTGATAACATTTAAAATGATTCAACGATATTTAAACAACATTTTTGAATTTCAGTCTTAATTTTAAATTATAGTCACGTGTAATTTATTTCAAAAACTATCAATATCGAAAGTTTTTTTACATTACAACACAATTAAATTTTATTTCTTATTTATTTACAAAAATAACAAAAAAATGTTAAAAAGTTAATTTAGTTGAAAAACAACAACACTCTTAACTGTAAATTTGTTGTTATCAGTCAATTCATTTTGTTTGGCGGTATAAGTGCCTGTTTCACAACTCCCATCAATTCCTTCCTTGTAAACAAGCAAATCACCATTAAATGTAAATAGGTATAAATCGTCTTGAGAATTCAGCCAAAATTCATTACCAGTGTAATTTCCACTCTTCCCAAACTTTCTTGGATTTATAATGCCGTTTCTCATCAGTGAAAAGATGTAAGAACTGCCATTGTGAAGAAAAGTGCGAACCGCATTTATATTACCAGTGCACACGCCACCAAACTTGTTGTGATTTGTGTCTTCTATTAAAAAGCACAAGTTGCTTTTGTTCATAATGTTTGCATCAAACACTGAATTGTTCACTGACCAGTCGTCTTTGTCTGAGGCAAACACGACACTTTCTATTTTCATTCCTGTTAACTTTTCAAGACCGTCTTCATCTAATAGTGAGATGTGTTCTCTTTTCATTTTTTCGGCTTCTCCTTTTTGTTGTTTTTCTTCGTGTTGTTTTTTAGAATAAATGAATCTCTCTGATTTAATTATTTCATCAATTGATTTTTTTTCGTTTGTACAATATTGTTAATTTGGTCTTCATATGGTTTTGTGTTGATTTTGCACTTTTCCTCAAGAAGTGCAATTCTGAGATTGTATATCTCATAAAACTGTTCGTAGTCATTTTGTGTTGAATACGAAGCTAACTCGCCTTTAATTTTGTTCGATGTGTTATCCAATGTTGTGACAAACGTATTGAGTTCCTTTGTAATAAACTTCTTTCTTTCAAAAACCTCATCAAGTCTGTCGAAGTGTCCCTCTGCATTTTCAATGCGTTGTGCTATGTCAAGTGTCTTGTTGTCTTCATAATTGTAAACCGCTTTTGATTTGTGAAGGTCTGAAACTTTCTTTGCCGCCTTTGTGCAAAGTGCTGAGAATGCTTCAATTTCGTTTTCCATTTGTATGTTTTTAGTTATTAAGTTTTATTTTATTTTTAATAATAAAGTTTATTTAATAACTAAAATCAGTCTGGTAAAGTTATTTATTCCAAAAACCTTATTTATTTTTTTCCTTTGAAAAAAAGCATTTTTGGGATGTTTAATAAATATTACTATTATTTAAACTATTTTCCAATAACACAACCAAAAACATAAATGGGTTAAAGTCATTTAGCCAATCATTTCATTTTTTTTTCTGTTTGTCAATAAATGGTGATATTAATGTTGTTATTTAACAAAAATAACGGGAAAATACCGTAAACAAACTGAGTTTTTTGGATCATTTTTTGAAGAATTTTGATAGAAGGCGTGAGTACTTTTTCTACTTTTTTAAAACACTTTTTCGGAGAGCAAAGTTAAGACAATACCTTATGAACGGCTTTTACTCGACTGCTAAACTGCAATTCGATGTTCGAGTCTGCCAATCGTGGTGTTCTTTTCAATTATGATTTGTCTGGTTGTTTGTTATTTTTATTTGATGAAATAGAAATTGGTTGTTGTGAAATTCTCGTGTTGTATTTGTCATCTTACACAAAAAAGATTTGCCCACCCTTTTTTACAACAACGGCACCATTTCTGTTGTTATACACAACGTCTGAGCGAAAAAATCGAATTGGTCAATTTGTTTAAGTTCGTTTTGATTGAAAAAAACAAAGATTACAAACGAAAAAAAATAAAATTGAAAAACAAAACCAAATAACAAAAAATAACCTCTTTTTGTCAATAAATAAGGTTTTTGGAATAAATAAGGTTTCCAGACTTTCTTTAGTATATAAATACACCATTTTATTATAATTTCCTCATTATTTATTCATTATAGCGAGAATGATTTTATTGATAACTGGCAGTGACTCGACGCCCCAGTTTTGTAACACAAATCGATCATTTCTATGGAAGAACATTCCCGTCTTGATATTAGTCTTCAGTGAGACGACGATGTTCTTCCCATCATTTCCCATCGACCCGATTTTGTCATACAAAATTTTCCAGAGGAAATTTGCTTGAGTTCCGCTCCTCTTTTCAAACCCGATCATCACCTCCTCTGTAAATACAATTCCTCGTAACATCTTTCCTTCGACTTTTTTCATCCACGTCTTGTACTGCATCGTTCTAAACGCTCCTCCCTCTAACTCCATTAACACACTCCACCCTACCGCTGCTTTCAAATTCAATTCAATGACTTGCCCCGGACAATTAATAATAAAGACCTGCGACATACTTGCACTAAGCGCCATACCTGTACTGGCTTACGTGGCAATACCTTTTTACAAAAAACATGGTAAAAATGAGATAAAATGATTAAATAAAAAGAAAAGTTGATGGAAAAAAACTTGTTAAAATTGAAATTTCATTTTAAAAGTTATGAAGAAAAGAACATATTAGAAAACAAAAACCATTTAATAGTTCGCTCAAATAATATAAAGATTTGAATTTAAACAATTTATAAAAGTAATTAAAGCATAGAATGGTCTTTCGTTAGTTTCATTTTATATAAAGTTATAATAAAAATAATGTGTAAATTTGAACATTTTTCTATTTATATAAATAAAATAAAAAACTAATTTAATAAAAGACTTGCATGCATATATTCGGGAAAATTTGTTATTATTCATATTAAATTTTTTGGGGGTATATTCGTTCAATTTAATAAACATAATATATCAAAATTTTATACATTTTATTATAATAATATGATTCATTTTAAAAATAAAACCGAAAATGTTTTAAAAAATCTTATTGGAAATAAGATGTTTGAAAACAAATAAAATACAGAACTTATACTTGTATGAATGGTTTATTATAATTACACATTTTAATTAGTTATTAACACTGTACTATTATTATTAAATCAGAATTTAAACAAATTAATTTTATAATTTTTTATTTAAAATTGCATTTATATTATAATTTATAACTTATTGAAAAACGATCCAAACCAAACCCACATTAAGAACAAATCAATTACACCATTAAAATGTTTTTAACTTTTGAATTGATTATTTATTTTAAACATAAATTATGGGTTTAATTTATTATTTAATCTTTAACATTAATATATTATAACTTAATGAACAATATTTGATAATAATTGGACTTTAAAACAAAACAAACAAAAAACACTTTACAACACAACAATAACCAAAAACAAACAAAAATAAAACACATTTATAATAAAAAAGTAAAGTTTATAGAATAAAACACAATTAGTAGTCAATTAAATTATATTAAATGTTGTCTAAATTGAATACAACATGCCAAATAAATGTTAATTTCAGATGACCTTACCAACGATAAAACTTTAATTGTTTCATTTTTGTTTTTTCAAGTATTTTTTTAAAGCTACAATGACTTGAAGCCATCAAACACCGCACTCTTAATTGATATCAAAAAGTCAGTTTCTTCATTTATTTGAACAATTTTTATATTCAGTGTTGTTGAAAATGGAAATTATTTTTTAATTTGTTATGTTCTGGTCTCTTGTTCGCTTTTTGATTGATATTTTTTTTATCATGTTTATTATTTTATTTTAATAAATTTATTAATATTCATAATAAATGAGCAATGATATTTTATTTGTTTTTTGTAATTTCTCTCAACCATTGTGACTATTCAATATATTTTTGTTGATCAAGTGATCAGCACAAAATGATGTTTTATCATGTTTTATGTTAATAATTAAGTTATTGTTATTATTTATTCTTCGTATAAAACTAATCTATAAGTTGTAGTTAGTCGGGGCTATATATTCAAGTGTTGTTATGTGTCTTGGAATTACCAATTGTGTTTTGTATTTATTAACACGATAAGTTTCGGAATAATCCCGTTTATATAGCCAAAATAATTAAAATATTATTAAAAACACTTTCAGACTCTTATAAAAAGATGTGTCATTTTAAATGACACATGTTGTTAATTTTTTTGTTGTGGGTTATGTTTTAAGTAAAAGTTTTATTCTCATTATATTACCACTTATAACGTGGATTTAAAGATTAAGTATCATTTTAATACAATCATATGGATTGGAGTTATCATATGTCATTTTATTGTGTTTTAAAAAGATGTGTTTGAGAAAAAACATATCTCATCATTTTTGTTGTTTTTCTAATAAATTATTAGCCCATTATTACTATTGAAATGATGTTTTGTTTAAAAATACTTTTGATGTTTTGTTGTTTCGTGATTTTTCTTGAATAGATTTATGAAAAAGAAAATTCAAAAAGATAGTTCTACAAGTTTATAATGTGTTTTATTGGTCAAAACAAAGATTCAATTGCTTTAAGAAATTTCATTTAAAAAATAATGAGTTTTTTTCTCTTTTTCTTGTAATAAATTTTATGTTTTTTGTTTTTTAAATTGTTATATGGGCTAGTGCATGTATGGCGCTTAGTGCAAGTATGTCACGGGTCTTTAATAAAAAAATGTCCGTTATAAACATAATAAATCTTCTTTGTTTTATTTTTTAATATGTTATATTTTGAATATTTAAATAATTAAAGAGGTGGTAAAAAGGCACGCCTGGAGAGAAAGTCACACCCGTTTTCGTTTTTATTTTTTTGTATACAAAAAATTGCATATATGCATATCGGCAAACTTGTCTTTTGGAATTAGTGTATTTATGTTTTCATTTGCGTCATGGAATTGACGTTCTACTATCATAATAAAACTATATTAAAATTATTAAATAGTGGTTAATTATTTCATGTTTTGTTTTTTAAAGTATAAATTAAACTTGATAATTATAATAACTATAATTATTACAGATAGTCAAGTTCAATAATCATATTGCAATACGAATAATTTTATATGTGGTTTATTTACTAAATATTAAAACAATTATTATTAATAATAACATAATAATAAACCAAACAATTTTGATTTTAAAATTTGTTTAATAAAAACATAGTTTTATAACTTTACCAAAACAGAAAAAAATGGTTTTTAAATTGATTAATATGTGTTAAATCATGTGTACCTAATAACCGCCAAAGTTTAATTTGTTTGTTACTTCGTCTTCTTCTGGTGATATTTACCAATGCTACTATTTCCTTTCAGAAAATGGGATTTGCAGATAAACCGTGCTTTCAAGTTTCCTACATTTAATTGCTCTTTCTGGATAAAAATTAACTTGTTTTTTTAACTTTTTAAACGATTACCATTGAGAGTGTTTCTTTCGATGTTTTCTTTCATTTCTATTACTGTGTATTAGTTTCAATATGTGTTTAAATGTTCTTTTTATTGTAAAACTATTATATTTAAATAAATCACAATTTAAATTAGTTTAATATAGTATATTATATGACACTTCGAACAACAATACAGAACAAACTTTTAAACCTTAAATTCAGTCACATTAAATAGTTGAGACAAATACCTGGAATGAAAGCACAGTTTAAGGACAGCAATTTTATGTCGTTTAAATTGTTGGCGACTTCTATCATAAGATGAAATGCCAAATTATCGAACATCAACCAATAATGTGGTTGATGCAGGTGATCTTCGATACCAGGGTTTCATTTATTTATCAGATTGATCTTTGAAGTGGTTTTAAATGATATATATATATTTCAATCAGAGTCGGCATAATTAAATATATCTTTCAGTTATACAATAAAACTTTAATAATTTGGTTTATTTTGTCATTTTTATTTATTTACGTTAATGTTTATTACAAATTAGTCATAAAAAATTTGTTTATGTTTTTTCGTTTATTTGTTTTTAATATTTTATCGGTTCAAACAATATTTTATTATCATGTTTGATAATAAAAATCAAAATAATGTATTAATATCTTAATTAAATTTAATATCATAAAATGTTTATATCATTTATTATATTTTTTTTTATAAATTGTATATATTTTTAAGCATCAAATACTACTATCATATCAACACAATCAATTCAATTGTTCGAATATATTAACATATTTTATTTATATTATATTTGAAAACGAAAAAACGTTTAATAGACATAATAATGTAGACAAATGACAAACTTGTGTTATTTCTATTATTAGTATCGATATCATAATTAATAAATTATCACTGAATTATAATGTTTTTTTAATAAATTCGTTTTTTGTTGCATCAATAAACAATTTCTATGTATGATTACAAATAATATGTTCAATTGATTTTGGATGCGTAATGTGTAAATAAATGACTTTTGAAATTATTAATATATTTTATGAACAAACAACATTATAACTTTTTACTCGTTACAATTAAATTTGACATTATAAGTAGTTAATGTGTTAATGATTTGTAACGTTTGTTAACGAATAGTTTTAAATTGAAAAGTGCCGTTTTAAATTATATAATAATTGTTTATAGTTTTAATTTAATTTAAATGTTATTTTTCGATATACTATATAATAATAATAACAATATCCTATAATATAGTAAACTGGTTTTATTTATAGAAGTCTTTAATAAAAAAAATCACTTGTTTATCTTGTACATATCCTTTGAACCAAGTGGTCTTATCATTCAAATTTTGATCTCAATCATCTCTTGATGGTTATATGGTTAGTGAATAATGCATATGTTTATTATATAACTA